TTATGTTTTTTTTTTAAATAATGTTTTAAATGTTTTATTTTAATATGCTTTATTTAATAAATAAATTTATCTTTTAAAAAAAATATTTAAGAACCCTAAATTAAGAAACTCCCATTGGACCATTCAAAATGGAAGTTTCTTAAGTAGAGTTCTTAAGTCCACTTAAATATATATAAAATATTAAATAATTATTAAGAAATCTACTTAAGGATCAAGGGATAAACATGCTCTTAATTATTATTAAAATAAAAAGAAGCATATATTTTGAATTAAAAAATAAAATTTGTTAAGATTGTTCTGTCTCCATACTCCTACACGTCTCTGCTTTATTCCATATCCCCATGTGTTTACATCCTTCTACTCTCTCAGTCAACGACCAAACTCATGGCTGCTGATCTATTTAACTAATGTTTCATTCTACATAAAGTTTTAGGACATGATTTTGTGACAATCTATGACACAAACAATGATGAAACGCAGGTCTAGCTGTCAAAAAATATTTTTATGGACCGAAAAAAGCATAATCTAATTTTTTTTTAACATAATAATCTAAAACTTACTATAAAAGAAAAGTAAACAAGATTGAAAAATTTATTTACCTCTTCTTGATTTAGCAACTCTTTTAACAACCGGAGCAGCCGGTTTTATCTCAGTCGCCGGAGTCTCTTCCATCGGGAACAAAACTCCGTCAATACCTTGAACTGAGATCCGACCGTCGGTGTATATATCAGGGTCAAACAAATAAGCTGAGCCTTCACCATGTCCGAACTTAACAGAGCCATCAGCTTCTTGAGCCAACACTTTGTGTGGGAATCTCAACGAGTCATACTTCACCTTACCGAATCTCCGAACAGCGTTGTACATGCTCTCCTCCGTTTGATACTCCGGTATGATATGGTAATACACAATCTGCTCAGGAGCACCTGGCTCGCTTAACTGATCAGTCGTGAGCTTAGCCATGGCTTCGTCGTTAGGAGCCAAGACCGTTAAAACGTAGCCTTCAGAGACAAGGCGACCCATCTCGGTGGCTAGGGATGTTAGGTTGACGAGAATATCAGCCATTTCATTGTAGCCACCGTAATGCAAGAGAGTGTGGATGAAGTCTTTGACTTGAGCCTCGCCGTTGAAATGGTGACGTGGACCTCCAGGTCCTGGTGCTGGAGCCGGAGCGAGAGATGGGCCTGAGATTTTTAAAAATATAAACATTTACAAAAAAAAAAATTAAAAAATATATTTTTCTATTAAATATATGATGTTTTCAATTTTAATTTTAATTTATTATTTTTTATGCTATATAAATTTCTATATTTTAAATAGTTTTTTACTATTCGTAAATTATGGTTAATTACATCGTTAATAATGTTTTACATAGTAGAGAGTATATGTTTAGTAATTTATGTATAGAGGACCTGGTGACATGGCATCGTATATTGGGAGAACCGGAGGGGCACCGGCAGGTACGGGAGCTGGTTTCTTGAGACGGTTGGTTCTTGGATCAACCTCGGGAGCTCCTTCCGGTAAAACGGCGGAGATTGACCGGAGGCTACGGCGGCGGTTGAAGTCTTCTTGAACAGAGCGAGGGATGAGGAGACGTTCGATGCCATGGATGATACCATCTGGTCTGATAACGTCATCGGGACGGACGATCTCTGCGGAGTCTACTTTAAGCCGGAGGGTGGGAGTGTCGACGGTGAGATGGACACGGTCGTTGGAGAGTGTGCGGTGGTGATGAGAGAGAGAAGGCCATTGAGGAGAAGAGACACGACGAGGGAGAATGTGGAACAACAAGAGTGTTTGTAATGATTTGAGGTTTCTTGGTTCGAGCAAGAAGGATTTGAAGAGAGGGTCGAGGTTACGTTCCAAGGCATCGTTGCGTGGTGCAAAGATTGTGATGTTGTGTCGGCCAACTGCTTCTTCTAGGGTTTGGAGAAGGAGAGCTTTCTCTACTAGCTCGGCTAGTTCGGTATAGTGAGAGTCGAGGAGAGCTACGAGGACGGAGTTGGAGTTTATTGGACCCGAGATGGGTTTGATGTCGGGTAATGCGGTGGCTATGGAGGTGGTTAAGAGAAGGAGAAGGAGCTTGGAGACGACGTAGTAGGAGGCCATGGCGATGTTGAGAGAGGAAGGAAGTGTCGGCAACGTGAAGAAAAAAGAAGGCTTGTGAAGAAGGAGAGAGGGAGATTCTGATGCTGATGTGAAGTTTCTTCTTTCTTTTGTAATATTTTTATTTTTTTTGGGTGGTTAGATTTTTGCTTTTTATTTTATTTTATTGGTGTAAATAGTGAGGGTCTAGAAGTTCATTTTGTTCAGATTTTTGTTTTTTTTTGTAAAAAATCATTTTGTTTAGATTTATGCCTAACTTGAAGCCTCTCCTTCGGACAAAGGCGTCTACTTGCTTCTGTTCAACAACTCAGCACTGTGTCTCTGTCTTCGAGCTTTCGTGTCGGCTTCTGACTCGGTTCAGTATCTGAACTTCACTTCAAGTGAAAACTTTCCATCTTTGTATTTTTTTTCTTTTAAAATGGATTGTTTGGCTTCTAAATTAAGACGTACGACTCAAACAACTGTAAATCCAACAATTAGTTGCCAGTCATTAATGATTTACAATGAATGACATGTGTTAAATATTGGGCAATATAATGTTTCTCGACTTTAGTTTTGATTGTACCTTAAATTTTATAGTATGATGCTAATTAAGCTTCATTGTTACAAATATTCCATGCTTCGTGGCAACTATTTTTTGGAAGGTTCTTGATACTGTATTTAGCTTACAATCATTGATGTAATTTGGTGATACACATAATCAATATTATTTTAAAACTTACTTCATGCAGCTCTTTATGTTTAACCGAACGTAAGGAACGAAGTCTAACCAATCATCCCCAGTTTAATTCCACAGTGTGCGGCATTCGTATGTGTTCGGTTTCTTTACCATAGCTGATCATCATCTTAGCATCATTGCTTCAGTTTAAGTTATTTGTAATTGTAATATTTATGTAATTGTGTAATAAGTTGTTCAAGAGCACCATTATGTCCCAAAAATGGCATAATTAAATTTTAATATTCATACCCAAAACGGTCGACTTGCTACACAAGCTCAGAAAAAAAAAGTATGACTACTGCATGACTATAAAAACTTATTTTCTATGGTTTGATATCACAAATCATTTATAGATCGTTCGTTTAAAATTGTTATTGTTTAATTTTGTAAACTGATTATGAAAAAAGTTAGATGAATGTTTGTGTCTCGGATTAAACTTTTCAGAGGAAGATTATTTTTATATTGAAATTTTAAAGATGTGTGATAAATTATAGACATAAGGTGCAAAATGTTCACCAGTAACAAAAAAGTATATATTGTAATGATTTATGCATAGTCAGATGATTATTTAAGTGTTTTTCTCTGCACCGACATCTTCTACAAAAATAAACATACTATACGTTTTCTTCTAATTTTCGAATCAATTAGCATTGCTTTCTAAATGGGTACATGTCACTTTGAGCTTTTGGCAAAGAAAAATTTGAGGATGAACCTTTAGAATGAAATCTAGTTTAATGACTTTCTAAAATTATTAGTCACAAATAGCATGAAAACTATTTTTATTACATAAGTCGCAAAACAAAACCAGTGAATGAAGGTAAGATGTCTTTGTTAAACTGAATCGATTTAAGCTTTTGATCTAACATTGTATCATTTTTAGAACAAGAATCTTTGTTTACAAGACTTCAGACCAATACATACAACATAAAATATATTGGAATGCATATGCTTAGGATTTACTGCAAAATATGTCGTGATTATGAAATTATCTTCAGACAAGATCTACTTGATCAGAAAATGAATACGGACAATTTGTGTGAGTCAGATATAAAATAAGGGAGCTTACGGTAACGTAAAGAATATAGTTTAAAGTCAAAAGAGTCGAGATTTGGTTCTCGTACGTGCGGTGGAAAAGCGCGTGAAAATGTTTTAACATATGATTGATATAATCTCGCTTTCGCCGTTAATTATGATCTGAAACGGCGACATTTCGTCTGCCGTTAGATTCCCCGTCGCCGTCGAACCGACACTGTCTTGGACTCTTGGTAGTTGCCTTTCTTTCTCTCCTTTGAGCCGAAGCTCCGTTCCTAGTCCTACACCAAATCTTACATTATTAAAAGTTCTAAATAAAAGCATATGAGGTATGCCACGTAAATATAAATAATCGACCAATCAAAATGAGTTATTGGACCGTCATCGTAATTTTGCTCAGAAGCTATAGGCATTTGTTTTAACTCTAGCCCAGACAAAGCGTGGTCTTTTCAACTTCGTCTTCCCCGATCTCCGTTTCCTATCCTTCTTTGTAATCAGACCTCAGTTTTAATCTCTTCTTCATTATTTTCCTTTAATCCCTTTTCCCGAATTCCTTTCACCTTCCATTATTTCTCATTGTATATTTTCTACTACTTCTTTTCTTGCTCAACATCAAAACCGTCTAATAGAAAAAGCCCAGACAGATTAGGTTTAGTCGTCTCCTATCCTTCTATGTTTTCAGAGTTGCAGCCGTAAGTTCTTGAACTCAATCACATTGTTGAGTTTTCGTGACAAAAAAAGCATATTGTCGAGCTCACCGTAACGTCTTCAGCTTCATCCTCCGGGCCGATTTGAAAGCTAGCGCTGCTCACGTTTCTTCTTCGTCCAGATCCTCTGTGTAAACTTATCACTGTTCTCTTTGTTTGCATCATTTCCATTTCGAATTTATTCTGCGATATGCTCAGAAACAAGGTGGATTTGACTTTTTGTTTGTAAAGTCCATAACTTTCTTCTTTTGCTTATACCAAATTGATCACTTTTTTAGATTTTGAGATGGTTATATACTGAGTAAAATGCTTTAGAATTTCCGATTTAGTTGCAGAGTCAAACCATGGTTACTAAAAGTAGTGTCAGTTTATGTTGTCAGAACTCTTGGTGGTTTTAGGTTTAGGTGTGGCAGCCAGACATAGGATTATATGAATACGAGACTATCATCATGGTATTTGTTTATAGAAGCTGTTAAGAGAGAGAGAGAGAGAGAGAGAGAGCTTTTGCTAAAGACTTTCTATTTTGCATCATTAGGACATGAGGAATTAAATGGATCATTCATCAACGATTTGGCATTTGATTCTTTTGGCAAGGTTAAAACTGATGAGCATCTTTTCACTGGCCACAATGTTGCTATCAAAATCCTCAATCGCCGTAAGATCAAAAACATGCAAATGGAAGAAAAGGGTAAACACATTAAGCTCTCTAGCTTTGTATGTTTCTAAATGACCTGCCTTTGATTACCTAGATGTATGTTCCTTTCTTCCTTACAGTGGGGAGAGAGATTAATATTCTCAGGCTGTTTATGCATCCTCATATAATTCGCCAATATGAAGTCATAGAGATCCCAAATGACATTTAGGTTGTTATGGATGATGCCAAGTCCGGAGAGCTCTTTGATTATACTGTTGAAAAAGGCATATAACAAGAGTACGAGGGTTTTTTCAGCATGATTTTCTTTTCTCTTACTCACCCACAGCCACTGTCTTTGTAGTTTCCTTCTCTGAGTTTTGAGTAGTGCTACTGTTTTGACTCATATCTGAACAGATAATCTATGGTTGTCCACAGATACTTGAACCTTGAGAGGTGCAATATTAAGATTGCTGAGTTTGGGCTCGGTATGCGTGATGGTCATTTTCTGAAGCTGTGGAAGCCCCAGCTACACTGCTCTCGAGGTAATTAGTTATAGTATAGTTTCAGTCTTCTTACTTCCTTCTGTCTATGAGTATCTATCTGAAACTTGAATGAATCATCTCTTTCTAGGTCATATCAGGAAAATTATATGTTGGACCTGAAGTAGATGTATGGAGTTGCAGAGTTATATTGTATGCTCTACTCTGTGATACCCTTCCTTTTGATGATGAAAACAGTCCCAACCTTTTCAGTTTTCAAAAAGATAAAGGTACTCTACTTTATGCATTAGCTTCCCAAATGTTGTGTTAGTTTAGTTTGATTGATAAAAAGAGAGGGAGACTAGAGACTATGATGTTTCAACAAGAGTATCCATATGGCTTCTCACTCATGGAAACATCATCAAGCTACAAAGTCTTCGCAGAGCAACAACCTATTTCAACGGACAACTTATATTCTCTACGAGCACGAGGTGGTTTCAGTGAACCGCCGCTGAAAAAGAGAAGGAGGAGGAGAACGAGAAGTGATCACTTGATAGAAGAGAAAGAGAACCAAAGGATGAATCATATCGCCGTCGAGCGTAACCGGAGAAGACAAATGAATCATTTTCTCGCCATTCTCAAATCGATGATGCCTCCCTTTTATTCTCAGCGTATGAGTATATATATCATTTAGGTTAATGATTACATGTTGGGTGTATAAGACATCAGTAAAGGCTAATCAATTTTGATATATACTCTGTTAGAAATTAAGTACATGTGTTACAACCAATAAAAAACAGGACATCAAATTTGTTTATTTGTTTATTTGGTTATGTTTTACCTTTTGATAACTTTATTTCCATTATTTTTAAAGTTTAGTATACTCTATACAAAAAGTATACTCTATACAAAATATAATGGAAATTAAAGGTATGTTATTTTAATATATTTCCAACTTTGAAGTTTTTTTTAATTAAAAATGTTAACTAATCATATTTTTTATTTATATTCTCTCCGTTTCAATTTATTTGTCATTTTAAAATAAATTTTTCTTTTTAAAATAAGTGTCCTTTTATAATTTCGATGTAAATCATAAGTTCATAATAAAATATTATTTAATTAATCAAATTAATTGTATTAATATTTCGTAAATAAGTTACACACTATATTTGAATTATAATATATCTTAAAAACTCTTGTGCTCAAAGATAATCTATAGTATTATTTTTAATGTTTGCATATTATTTTTTCTATTTCTATTAATCTTTGAATTTAATATAATATTAAAAATGTAATAACCTAATTTATACCTAATTTATATATTATATTATTTATTTATTTATAACATTTGGTTTTAGAAACCGAAAGTGATTCCAAAATGGAAGTGTAATGTTATTATTTAGGAATTATTTAGTAAACGAGATTTTGAAATTTTTCATAAGCTTCTGATTCTAATTATGGGTTCGAAACAGGAAGCGAATGTTTGATGATGCTTTCGTACTACCTAGGGAAGAAGTGTTCATATGAATGTGTTCTTCTTGTAAATTTTACTTTTAGTTGTGACTATAGCTCATCACAATTTGAAAACGTTATTGCTCAGCTTTGATTTGAATATTTACTGATATTCATGAATTTTTCTTTTTATCATTGTTTCTTGCCAAAATCCAACTCAATGACACTGATATTTTGCTCTTATTAATTTTCTAACTGAACTTCAACGAAGATGTGGAACTTCGACAAGTTATATTAACTTCCAACAAGTATTTAGCTTCAGAAAATAGTTTACATGTATAAAATGAATATAATATTTCTTGTGTTTTTAAAATATACATATAAAAATATTATTCGCCAACACATAATTACATTAAAAACAAGAATATGTGTATAGTACACACATTCTTTCTAAAGAAAAAACAAATATGCAAAACCAGAATTTTTCGTTTCAAGAAACACCAATTAAAAAAAACAAATATCAGTACAATTAAATTAAATTGTATATAGTACATATAATTCATGATTTATCTTCATCTGAAACGAGATATATGATACATATATAGATAAAGAACAAATTCATAAGAATTGATTCCTAATCTATGAGCTTCTGAGTCGAGAAGAATGCAACTCAAATTAATCAACATTTGTTGATTTTAATGTTAAAATAAAAGATAATTATATATTAATTTAATCATATTTTCATTGAAACTATTTTAAACTTATAAAAGAATAATTGAAGCTTAATAAGACTAATAAAAAAAATGTTCGAAATGCTTACCAGGTTATATGTATTTTCTGATATTGAAAAAAATGAAGGTTACCAATTTTAAAATTGTAGTCACCTAAAGCAATAAAATTATAAAGTTTTCTGATATTTATATAGTGTAAATAGTCTAAATATAAAATATATATGCTCAAATACAAATTATAAAGAATTAAATTTAATTTAAATATGTGGGAAACCCGGGGATAGTCCAGAAAAAAGGATCTAGTATTATATAAAGAGAAAACAATATTCAATTAGCAATAAATAAAAGAGGAAACAACTCAGTGGATAATTTTTTAATAATTTTTTGGTAAGTCAATTTAACTAAGAAACTCCTCACGAAAAGGACTTCACTTCTAAACTTAAGTGATATATACTGAGAGAAAACACATTTTATGACATATTATGTTTTTATTATCAAAACAATAAGAGTGAGATGCAGATTTCCATATTGGAAAATGTAAAGTTAAATGTTTAAGGATTCTTATTTCTTATATTCACGGAAAGAACTATTTGCTAGAAAATAATTGAGAAATGCATTGACATAAACTTTTCGGGTAGATGCGTGATATATGTGGCCATTGAATATATTATGAAGATCTTATAAAATGACACTATTAACGTATAATTAGATATCCTGGAATTATATTATTATATTTTGATTCTTCCAAATCAAAGATTGACAGGACATTTGATCTTCTGACTCATTTTTTTTTCTGTAAACACAACCATTTTTCCTTCGATATTTACGTTGAGTCTTTCTTAAATTGTCGATCAAATTTCGTGGTACCAAATATTTGTTTTTGCGATGTTTTTGGACTAGTCACAAATCTCTTTTTCATTTGCAAATGTTAACATGAATCCATTCTCTAGAAAAAGCCTAGACTAATCCCTAAGGAGAGGTACAATCCATGGATAGACCTTCTCTCCGGATATTTAAATGGACCCTAAAGCATAAGTCCATATCCGTATTAGGTGACCAGGATAATTGTGACTTAGTTTCGCGTAGCAGGTGGATCGAACTTGAAACATGTTGGTGTCTCAGCCCCGTCTCCTTACCACTCGACCATAATCACCCGGTCAAAAAAAAAAGAAAAAGAAATGTTCCTTTCTTAGCTAGCCAATCGAAATCGCTACATTGTCATTTTGTAAATAAATTTCAACTTATCGTATTGGTAGTTACTTTAGTACTCTATATATTAACATGTGTATAAATTTCATGTAATTACGAAAGATTGTCAATCAATATGTTTTCTCCAAATATTCTAAAGCCCCAAAATATTTGGCATCAACACAGCCCTACATATATAAGTCTTGGGAAAGAGATGAGAATTTAATACTAATTCAATACCTCAGTCTCAGCCATATTCGTCACACTATCTTCCTTCTACTAGTCAGGATAGATTTATGGAGTTTAGATCATGCTCTCCCTGAACGTAACGAAGCTGCTGATGCTATTGCTATTAATGTCACTCGTGATCACCGTCACCAGTCATACATCGCTCGCAATGCTTCCGTTTGACTTCATCACTTACTTGCTTTGGAGAAACGGCAGTGAGTTTTTTTATGGGTGAGATTTTTGTTTACGCTTCTTTGGATGTCTACTGACATTTATTCTTATCTATTATGTATTCCATCTTGTGCTGTATCAAATATTCACCAATGTTATTAAAAAAAAGATATGACAAAAGATTAAAGGGTAAAAATGATGAACAAATAAAAACCTGTAATCTGTTTGAGCATGTAGTAAGACCGTAAGAACTTGTTTTGTGTAATAAGAGGTTTATATTTTGACTGGTCGTAATTAATATAGATCAGATTTATCGGTTGGGGTTCAGTTCAAATTTAGGATTACGAATCTTGTGTCCAACCCTACTTATATTACATATCTATGTACTATGGGTGTAGTTTAGTTGATACGAATCCGAACACTGATCATTAAATACTCGGCGTCCATTGACATAAAATCCATAAATAACATGGAGTGGTTATGTGGTCCAGTTTACCTCATAATTCTGGGAAAAAATTATCCAGGAAATAAGAAACTTATTTAATATTAATAAAATAACATTTAAAGGTCTGTGCTAAATGATAGTTGACTTTGTTGCAAAACTTGACTCGTTTGTGGGATTATTTTTCTTACTTCATCCTCCAATTTTGATTTCCGATTACTCCTGCGATACTCTTTGTTGTTCCCTGACGGCTCCATCACGTCCTCTGCAAAACTTACCTTTTTCTTTTTCTTCTTCTCTTTATTCTTCATATCTACACATTTTATAGAATCAAATTTGAAATAAGAACTTAAAACATGCACACATCAAGGAAATTTTGAAAAATAGGTGATAAGATATTAGTACCAAGCTTCTCCAAGTGATGGGAGAGGAGACGTTTGTGTAACTGAGCCGCAAGGAGCACCACGCTTCCGGAGACGGCGAAGACTATCATGAACCCTGCTGAGCTCTCCATCTTCTTTTCTGAAATAGTATTATTGTTTTATCTGAATATGGATGATGAGAGAGTAAAAGCAATGTGCATGGGATATGGTGACATGATCGCAGTTTCGAGGAAGGGAAGCATCGTGATGAAGAAAAGTAGAGAAGACTTTGGTAGTATTCTTGTTCATTAAAAACACTCTTCTTTTCCAACTAATTAAACTGTTTTATTCCATTTATTATTGAGAGTTAAAACTTGAAATCAACAACAAAATAATAAAGGCATGGAAGTGGAAGACGGTTTGGAAAATAAATGGTAGGTGAACTTTGTACTAATAACATGCAAAGAGATACAGTTCATACTTAAAAAATCTCTATAATATTATATGAGAAGTCACTTTCTTAGGTATCGCGCTCACGTTAACTCTCACGTTGGTTGATTACTATGATACCCCTAATAAATTAAAAATACAATTAATATTATTTTTTTAAAAAAAATTTCCAAATAACAATATAAAATAAAAAGGAAACATTTATAAAATTTACAAAACTTTTTAAAAACGAAAATATAAGGATATATAATATGGTTTAATAAAAAAAGGAAAGTTCACAAAATAATAATATTTAATTTAAATATATTTTAAATAATATAAAATATACCTTTGAAGTAATAAAATACTTTAGATCTATATCTTCTTAGATAAAAAACAATATCTGTATATAATGTGATTTTATAAAAAGATTTCACACAAAAAATATGCTATAAGAAAAAGAAATATTTTAAAATATTATTTGAGAAGTCACTTTCTTAGGTGTCGCGCTTATGTTAACTCTCACGTTGGTTGATTATTATGATACCTCTAATGAATTAAAAATACAATTAAATATTATTTATTTTGTAAAAATTTCCAAATAACAATATTAAATAAAAAGGAAACATTTATAAAATTTACAAAACTTTTTAAAAACGAAAATATAAGTATATATAATATGGTTTAATAAAAAAAGGAAAGTTCACAAAATAGTAATCTTTAATTTAAATATATTTTAAATAACATAAAATATACCTTTGAAGTAATAAAATACTTTAGATCTATATCTTATTAGATAAAAAAAAATATATGTATATAATGTGATTTTATAAAAAGATTTCACACAAAAAAATATTGCTATTAGAAAAAAAATATTTAAAAAAAAAATTTAAACAGTAAAATATATATATTTTCAAAATAATTATTTTCTATATATCTATCTATTTTATTAGATGATTACATAAGATAATCAACTAAAATAAACTGATATATGTTTAACTGACATTTTTTATAATTAGTATTATTGAAATTATTTTTTAGTATATTTATTTGACTAAAATATCTTACAATTACAGTAAAAATATAAATTCTATTTTACTTATATAGTATAATTTCTCAAAAACAATCACTTTTTACTGACTATTTTAAGAGATACTAAAAATAAAACTAAAATTAATTTAATAATAAACATCTTTTGATCAAGTAACTACAATTATTTTAAAATAGCATAACACAATATAATCTAACGAGGTAGATATATAATATTTTAGTAGTTAAAATTATATGTTTTAAGAATAAGGATTATGATTTACTTAAGTATTTTGATTATGGTTATATTAAGTTTCACAAACATAAAAACAGAAAATAACTACAATTATTTTAAAATACCATAGCATTATATAATTTAATGAGGTAGATATATTATATTTTAATATTTAAAATTATCTGTTTTCTTAATAAATCTTTTGATTTTTAATTTTCTGTTTTTATGTTTGTGAAACTTAATATAACCATGATCAAAATACTTAAGCAATTCAGAATCCTTATTCATAAATTATTTAAAACTAAATTTCAGTTTACCATCCAATCAATCTAAAGCATAAATTTATTTAGTATTTATAAAATATTTTAATTATTGTAAATATTGATATGTGTTCAAAAACTTCTAAAAATTCATTAGTTACTTATGTATGTAATTTAGAATCAGACACTTTAGTTTTTATTTGTTTTCCTTCTAACCACAAAAAAATCTTAAGTTATATATAATCTTACTAAATATACTTATATTTCTAAAATAACAACCAGCATAAATGAAAATAAGACTATTAATCAAAATTTTAATATATTTAAAATATAAAAGATTATAGTTGAATTCAGAGAAATAGATAAAATCCAATATATCTAAACGATAATTAAATCGACCGTAAAAACAATAAAACAGACTAAATATAACATATCTAAAATTATATATATAATTAAAGTAATAGAATATTATAATATAAATTAGACATACAAACTATAAATTAATTTAAAAATTAAAGTAAATATCAATCAATTATTATTGTATATTTATTTTATAAATATACACTAGATTTTGACCCGCGCTTGAAAGCGCAGAAATTTTTTATGATAAAAAATTTATATAATTGGGTTTTGTCTTAATTTAAAGAATATTTTGATATAAATCAGTTCACCAAAATTTGTGGTGATGATTGTTTTCCATTAGTTTTTAGTTTCAGTTTTTACTTTTAGATTTTGGTTTTTGGTTTTTGGTTTTTAGTTTTTAAGCTTCTACTTTTCATTTTCAGTTTTTGGTTTGGGTTTTTAATTTTTAAACCCGCTGAGTTATTTTGAACTAATATTACCAATAAACAAATCTCAAATAATCGAACATCTAATTTAAAACTGAAAAGATGACAACAATTTTTTAAAAAAAAATTGAAATAGTTTATTCTGTAAATAAACAAAGCAAAAAAAATATAACATGTGTTTTCAGCTTTTGGTTTTGGATTTTAGTTTTAGATTTGGTTTTTGGTTTTGCTTTACATTTTTTTAATCAGTAAATTATTTAAGAAAAATAAAACAATAAATTATTTAAAAGTTACCATTGAAATTTATCAAAACAAAGTGATTGTTATTTAAAATAAAAAAATTATATTAACATGTTTTAAATAAATGATTAATAATAGATAATTTTGTTTTGTTAAAAAAATTAAATAACTTTTGGGTCTGAAAATAATAATTGATTTTTAATCTTTCAAGGTGGAAAGTTTATTCAATGTTTTTGGAGTTTTTTTCTTAATACTAAGCCCAAAAACAAAACTATATAATTTGTTCAGAAAATAAAAGTAAGCCCAAGACTATAATCCATAAATAACCACTGGTTTAATTTAAGTATAATTAGTAGATTTCCATATTCCATATTTTGATGATATATATTCTTTTAGAACATTCCATATTTGTAGGAGAAAATATGTGTTTTCGGTATACACATATATACCTGCCGTATTTTGAAGGTAGTTTACATTAAGGTCGTCTCTTTACATTAATTGTGTTGGTTTAATTTAAATAATACGGTTTAATCAATTATATGACTTGTATTATTTGTAACATTCTAGAAAAGGGTCCAAATTTAAATGACAACTTGTATCAGTAGATAAAAAGAATGACTCTATTTTAATAGAGTAGATGCCCGTGCATGAGCACGGGAAAATCACCTAGTAAATATACTAATTACGAATTATAATTATTTGGAATTAAGAAGCTAAATTTAATTGAATAAACAGACCTTATATACTGTAGTCGGATCGATAAAAAAAATAAAAGGATTCGAGCTTATGCACTAGTTCAACCCTTTGCACAATTTCTTCTTCTAGAATCAATGGTTTCTACTCGCACAAGCAACCTTTTGATCTTATGATTATTCGTAGAAAATTTTTAACCCCTTAGTTTTTATTTTACCGATATATATCTATCTATTTTTTTATAAAATATAATATATCTATCTATCTATCACGTTAATAAGTTTGCTTTTCTTTTAACGATTTTCATATGATTCCTAGTTCAATTAGGAATATAAACACATGTCCAAGTAGATTAGGAGGACACTTTGAACTTCATAACTTTCCTATTTATCAATCAAATTTCTAAATTCCAATATATATATATATATATATATAATTTTTTTTTAAATCACAATCTATATAAGATCCGATTATATTTTGTTCTGACCTATTCATAAAACTGTTTTGTGTTGTTTTAAAACAATTATAAATGTTTCATACACTTTGATTAGCAAGTTTTTAAAACGTAGGTTCATAGTAACTCAATGAATTTAGTTAGTTAACAGTTTTATCATTACTAAATTAATAAAGATGCATACAAATTTAAAGATCTATTTTATTAAATACACTTTTATTCAGAGCATGAAAAATACATCTTAATATGGATGATCTATTTTGTTAAATACATTGTCGTTTGTGGGGAAAATATCTGAAACCATTACCGTTTAAAACCTCATTTATATATTTTTGTGCAAACCCCCATGTAAGCAAATAGTATATGTTGGTACAAAAAGGTGAAAGAAAGATAATTTATCTTGGAGATATAGGCAACCATAGATGTACATGAGTTTGGGATCCAAGTTTTAATCAAGACAATGTTTATTAGATCTCGTGTGCTCAAGCCAAAGCTATAATGACTTGTGGAAGAGATTCAAAAGAGAAGAAAGAGAAAGAAGTCTTAATCTGGAGAAATGGTTCAGATGATCCAGCTGCTATCATCCTTCAACTTTGATTCCTCTGACCAATTTTGCTCTACATGTTCCCACGCCAACTCTTCACCTTCCTGCATATTCCACAACATACAATTATCAACTAACTCCAGGAGCTACTCTTATTACACAATCTCATACCTTTGCGGTGAACTTGACAGTGGTTGTGCAGCCTCTGCGTTCATCGTCTGCAAGAGAAACTGGTGTTAGGTTCTCATAGGTTTTGAATTATATAGATGAAGCAGAGACTTATAAGGCGTTACCACTCTGTTCCCACTTATCAAGCTTAACTATCCATGTCCCAGGAGTAGTCTCTGTTGCCAAGACTTGATCTACCCAAACACGAAACTTCTTTCCTTGTTTGTCTCCATGGTACTTACGCAGCTCATCAATGGTATCTATCAGAGATTTCTCAGCACCAGATGGATGGACAAACACACCTCCAGGGTGCTGAGACAAAAAGACATTCTCTAGTCAGATAATGTTATCCCACTGCAATTACATTTATCTAAACTTTGTTTACATACTCACACATGAAGCTTTGAGGCTCGCTGTGTAAGCCTCAGAGTTCTCAACCTCACCACGTCTCCATCTCTCGTAGAACAAGAAAAACTTCACAACCTCGTGACCAGGGTTAACATTCTCAACCTTGCACTCCAAGAAGTCAGAGACATCTCTTGGAGAAAGGTTTGGACCAAGCTTGAACTCACCAATAGCTTGTATAATCCCACCTGCACACCTCTCCTTCGCATGGATCACCTTCGGGTTGTCCTTTGCATTCTCAGCGTGCCACTTCAACAGCTCTTCTTGAGCATTGCTTACCATGACGCCATAAACATCAGGGATGCTAAAGAGCTCAGCATCGTTCCCAGAGTCTCCACAAGCAAGAGTGTTAACAGGGAGTTTCCCTTCACTCTTGAGCTTCTTGAGTAGATAAGCAAGCGCTTGTCCCTTTCCAGCACCTTGTGGTAAGATATCCAAATCCATACCTCCACTGTAGATTATTTTCACATCCAACTGAAACAAACACACACACACACAATCATCTAAAGAACAACGGTAAATTCAGTTGCTACTATAGCATTAGTGTTCTAAAATATCCCTAAAATGTTCCTAGGCAGCAAATTAGGCATCCAAAAAATCGGTCTAGGCATTCAAAAAATCGGTCTAAGAGGTTCCTAGGTGGAAAACTGGACCTAAAAATCGGTCTAGATGTTCAAAACATCGGTCTAACAGGTTCCTAGGTGGTAAATCGAACCTAAAAATCGGTCTAAAGGGTTCCTAGGTGGTAAATCGGACCTAAAAATTGGTCTAGGCGTTCAAAAAATCGGTGTAGGCGCCCATCTAATTACCGCGTAGCGATTTTTTGAACATTTGAATTAGCAAAGCAAATCTTACCCCACGTTTCTCCAACCGCAGTGAGAGCTCCTTGGTCACATCCTGAGCCTTACTCTTGTCAACGTAAAAGCTAACCTTGTGAGGCCTCTGCTCAGTTTCCGCCTAAACACAGTAATCACACTTCCTGAGCAATTGTACATTATTGCAAAATTGTTATAGACTTTTACCTGAAGAGTTAACTCAGAGAAGTTGCTGGTCTCTTCTTTAACAACACCCAAGTCCCATTTGTGATTTAAAGTATCAACCCAACCATGATCAGGAACCATGGAGTTACCATAAGTAATCTCAGTCCCTACAGACATGATAGTTATGTCAGGGGTCAATAAAGGTTTCTCCTTTCTGAGTTCTTTGTACAGAGTCGGTGATCTTCCGGTTGAGAAGACAAGAAGAGAGTCGTGGCGGTAAGCGTGTTCCCATAGTGAATTGAATCTCAGGAGAGAGAGGTTTTCAGGGTCATGATGATCAACCTGCAAACACAACAGTAACATCAATCAAAGACATAACCTTTAGTTGTTGTTTGGAAAAAGGGTAAAAGGGTAAAAGGAAAGGTTAAAGGTTTGACCATGGTGTGATCAAGATCAGAGACAATCATGAGACGAGGAGGAGATGTTAGCCGCTCCATGATTTACTCTGTAAGATCATTTCATTATTAGGACAGTGTCTATCAAATTGAAATCAAGAAGACATCTCACTAGACAAGTACAGATTATAATCTATAGGCTTATCGAAATCATTTTACATAATGATTCAACACATGGAGAGGTTGTACGTTCGATTCGCAGGAAATTCAGAAGAAGTAAAAAACGAAAATGAAGAGGAAGAAGAGAGAGCAGTGTACGTACCACAGATTGAGATGGAGCTTCTCTCTGTCCTTTCGATTGCCGTTATTTTTTCTTAATAACTTGCGGTTTTATTATTATTACTATGCGATAAAGATCCGATGATGCTGATGAAGAGACGATGATACAATGAAATAAAATTAAATTTTTTATTTAAGAAAATAGATGCTTGTGCACGTGTAGCATAACTGACGGCTATCAGACCCCACATAATATTCCTTTTTATTACTAATCAATTAGGTACAGAAGACCTCTACATATTTCATTTATAATGTTAAACCTCGTCTTCCACTTAAGAAGTTTTGCCTTGGTTGGGTTTGAACAACAACACATTAGCTTTTGGTTAACTCACCTTGTGTTAGTTAACATTAGAACAGAGTTTTAAAAACAAAACAAGTTACCAAATAGATAATAGTCTAAGCTTTTTTTTGGCATGAACTCATAGATTAACATCCTTTCTTTTTTCTGCCAAGTCACAACTACTTCATTGACAAGCTCCTCAAGCCCTTGTCCAGATACTTATGACAGTCTCTCTTCACTGCAATCTCTTGTCCTTCTTGCAACTTCCCCTGCAACACAAAAACATGCAAAGAGTTCTTGGAGTCTGACATAAAGTCTTCATGTAAGAGTCATACTTGCTCTGTAGACAGGACCAAACCCACCTTGTCCGAGCTTATTACTCAGAGAGAAATTAGCAGAAAACACTTGAAACTCAAACAATGGTAGCTTCTGTTCCTTTCTCTCTCACTGAGAACAAATCGAATAAAAGAACATAACCAAAACAAGAAATGTCTAACGCTTATAAAAAGAAAACGAAGTATGGTTAAGCTAAACTCTGACCTCTTCTCTTCTTGACAATTTGTTGAACTAAAAGACCACAAGCTGCCACAACAAACGCATCACTTGATTATAATGGCCTTCTGTCCGGCGTTTATGAATGTGCAATACGGATATAAAAATCCATTCCACCACCAGATAGCTCCTGAGAATCAACTAAGCTTACATTCCAAATCATGCAACCATAACCTAAACCATGAGCAAAAGCTATACATCTCCAAACATTCTGGTTCACTAGCTTGGAACCTTCTTGCAAAGTTAGGCAACTTCATTCGCCTAAGTCTCAGCAGCACTCTCGCTACTGTTCTGGCTTTCACACTGCAAAGGCACCTTTCTTATGCATCCACCACTAGAGTTTCTAGTGTTCCACTCTATGACGTTCCTTGGTCTGAACCCTCTAATGCAAGAACAAGGAGGGGTTTTCACGCCTATGGCCATCCATGTCTACGTGATTTCCATCTTCAGATACAGAATCAAGCGAAGTCATTGATCTGTTTATCTTTGTTACCAATCCATATCACAGTTTGTACAGGAATTTTGCTATACTATATACCAGCATAGCGGCTTGTGGAGTTAACAGGGATGAAGAAACTGAACCTGAAAGTGCCTAAGCAAGAGAGTATGCTCACACCATCACTGAGTTTGCCAGAAAAGAAAGTTGAGGAATAGCAAACAATCAACTAATTCTGGAACCAGAGTTTTTTTTATAATGAGTGGATGAAACAGTCTTTGATACACAACAAAACAATTAACCTTTTTGCTTTTTGTCAAAACTTGCAAAGTAGCATTTAACAAAAGAGTAGAAACTCTGGCTTAAGCTGCCCCCAAAAAACTTTGTAGCAGGAAAGCAAAGTAAAAGCGCATCAGCAAAGCTTCTTCTGACCAAGCTGATCAGACACAAGAGCTTCCTCGTTCTTCTGCATAGCTTTCTTCGCTAGCTCATAGCCAGCGAAGTTCATGGCACCAAGAGGAGCCACCCAGAAGAACCTCGGGACTGCTCCTTTAAACAAACCAAGCGGTCCCTCATGGCTTAGGATTGAGATAGCAACCATTGACATTGAGATAGGTCTCCCTGGTGTTGCAGTCATCATTCTCGTCTTCATCACATCAAATGGCGTTGTCACAACTGCTGCTATGCCTCCTGATACCGCCCCAACCGCTATTGTCTCCCATGCCTCGAGTTCTCTTCCCAGTGCTTGCGCCACCATCTACAAAAAGTCAAAAACCCACGCAAACCCCAGTCAATCTCATCATTTCGGTTTTATTAACTGACCCTTTTGATCATCTCATCATCTAGATTATGTTACCTTTTTGGACTCTGCATACAGTCCCATGCCAACAACGTATAATGGAACTTCACGGCAAAGAGTTGCGCCTGTCCCACGGAAGAAACCCCCTGGACCGTCTTGCTTCCACGTCCCTACAATGGCTTCCCCTACATTGTTAAACATGCCAGCCTGCAACCGTTGCTTCAGCACCTCACATGGAATCCGCACAGCTGTGCCTAATAGCGTGCTGCAGAATGATGCAATTGATTGAACCTGCATCAAAATGCCCAACATTTCTTATTCAGTACAAAACACAACGATCAGAAAGCAGAAATGCAGAAGATGCAATTTTATCAACCAAGCAATTAAGAGATCTCGTAGCTCTAGCAGCAGCAGGCATTTATTATTGTCGCCAGATATTTTGCATAACTACTAGTAATTTATGAGCATACCATGAGACAAAAACAAAGCTATATGAACTCATAATGAAACATATACGTGAAGCACAAAACTGGAATCTTGACAAAACCAGCCAAAAAAATGAGTACAGTGATAATCACCTGAATTTCTGGGAGATTGGGAGCAAAATTGATCAACACAAGTTTACTTGCTTCGAATATTCCTGTCCGTAGGCCATGGCTACAACAATGAAAGAGAATAAGACACACTGGAAATGAAACTTAACAAGCAGAAGTCAAATAATCCTTGGTTTGAAACAATTGAAAATACCTTGAAAATTGTCCAAGAATCGCTGGAATAGAACCCTTATATACTCCCCGGACACCAATCTCAGGAAGCTTTGCTATTACTTCAGGAAACGATAAGGTTGATGCTTGCACACGTGTCTGGCAAAGAAAGTGAATAATGAAACCATCAAACCAAGAAACCAGGAGGAGTAAATTTGTATATATCATAACATATGCAGCTGCAAAGGTAACAAGAGGACTCACCTTGATTGTGTCAATGGGATGCATTAGAGAAGTAGAGAGAGCAGAGGCAAGTCCTCCCGCTAATGCAGATTTTAGAACATCTCCAGCAGGTAAGGCCACAGGGGGTGCAACAGCAACAACAGTCGCAGCTTCAAACCAGATGTTACTATACAAGAAACAATAACACTAATCAGCATTTGCAGGACAACAAAAATTTAAAGGTTTAAAGTGTTTAAGGAAATCAACATGAACTAGATGAGAGCTACTAAGAAGAAACGTGTCTTAGCTTACAAAATAAAAACATAAACAAAGAATTATACTTACCGAGGATCATCCTGTAGCCGCTCATATGGCAGTAAAACCATGAAATTACGGAAATGTCCATACGAGATAGACTCTTCAGTATCAGCCATCAAAAACCTCATCATGGCAATAGCATTCTCTTCATTAGCAGGAAGTCCTGCGTTATTCAGTGATGCCAATATCTCACTCTTCTGAAGAGTACCAGACTTTGTCAAACAGAGAGAAGTATAGGCACGGAGGATGGTTGGCTCCTTCTGTTCCATCAAAGACAGAAACTGCTTCCAACCAAACGATTTCGAGAAAAGATGACTCCTTGCTCTTCTCATAAAATCCTTGGCGTATCTTCTAGGCAATTTTCTTCTCCTCATTGCAATTTCCAGATCTTCCAAAGTAACTTTACCATCACCATCTCTATCTAACTCTTCAAAGAATCTCCTTCCTGGAAGCCACAGAGAATTATATTAGCAGACAATATAGTACTGAGAAATTGCAAACACAAAACTTAAGTTATAACAGTCGAGACATTAGTTACAGATGATGACTGTAGCAGTGAAGAAATGATGTAGTATGTGTATGTCTACAGCCATATGACCATATCAACAACAGGTATTTCTTTTCAATGATTTCAACAAACACAAAATGCCTTCAACAGTCAAACTTCAACCATGGCAAGATGAGTAATAAGTTGCCAAGAAAAGGTTCCAAATAAACATACAATCCTACCTTCAGACTCGGTGTATCTGAAAAAATCCTGAACAGATATAAGCTTCTTCTTATCCGGATGGTCTCCTGAAGGTCGTCCTAATTGGGGTAAAAGCTCAATAAGTTCTGTCAATGAAATAGTGGACAGTGTGGATTTCAAGCGCTCCACGTTAGACAAAGGTATACTCAGTAATCCACTCGCCAGACTCTGTGGAGACTCAACCACACTTTCCTCCTTACCAGCAGTACTTTCATCACCATCTTCACTTACAGGAGAAGTCAGACCAACAATACCAGACGCCACGTCTCCAACTCTAGCAAACATCAAGTTCCCAAGAAACCCATTAACATCAAGCTTCCTAGCATCCCAAATGTTAAAAACAAGCGGAGTAGCTTCCTTTTCATTCTTTGAACTCTCCTGCACAAACCGGTCCAGCTTCTGGAGATTATGAGCCAACATTTTAATAACAAAACCCATGGAATGCGAAAAAGGGTTGTTCCCTTCCTTTTCTATAGACTTAGCCTTTGCCCTAACGTTCTGTTTACGTGAATGCAAAAGAGTATTCTCATCTCTGTGAACCCTCTTCTTAAAAGGAATAGGAAACGCATGGACAAAGCCACTAACCAACAAAGACCAAGTCATAGCAAACTTAAAGCAATTCGTACAAGAACCATCACCATCCTCCTCTCTTCCCAAGAACTTGTCTTTCTTCTTCTTCTTCACAACCTCGTTTCCACGGCTAAGCTTCTCGTTTGCTAGATTAGGTGAAAACATGCCAAAGAGTGACTTCACAGGAATCTTGACAGACAAACTTTTCTTCTGAACAGTATTAACATCGTCCTCCTCAGAGTCGGGACTAGGACTAATCCGCTTCTTCCTGTTTCTCCCTGAAGATCTCAAAACCACACGAAAGTCCTTTTCTTTGCTTATCCAACAACTCTCGATGTCTTTCGCAGCCTTTTTGACGCCAAGCTCGATGGGGTGAAGAGCATCTTTAACGACTTGGATTGAATTGAATATCGTCTCGATAGGATCGTTCGATGACACCATTGCGTCACTCTCTCACCGCAACATCCAAAATCGAATCAAGAAGAAGAACTCATTAACCCTAAAATGAAAACGGACGCAAAGTCGATTCAGATATTAATCTGAGCATTAAGCGAGAGGATGCGAGAGAGGGTCTGAAGGAGACGAAAACGGAGAAAGGTGGGAGCTTTTTTGAAGGTAGAAGCTGAGAGAGGGAGCAGAGATATGGTGACAGTGGGAGGAGGAAGCATGAAAGGATGTTAAACAGAGTTTTGAAGGTTGAAGCTTTTGTTGTTTATCATTTACTTTCCTTCTTTCTTTAAAACAATATTAAAAAAAAAAGATAATTAATATATAAATGTTGTACGATTTCTCACGTAATGGATAAGTCATGGCCAGATCTCATATTATAGATGACAAGCCTTGTTTAAGGCTTTTTAGTAATATAAAAAAAGCAATTAACAGTGAAAGTAAAATATAAAGGATTCGAAATGATTTAGACCATCATTGTTAAGTTATTATATTAATATTTTATATAAAAATCAGAAACAGCATTACCATCAATTTCTTAAATTTCGGAAAATATTTTAATAATATAGAATATTATAATTTATGTTTATGCCTTGTAAAATATTTAATTTAAAAATCTTAATGATATTCCTTATAATATAGAATTATGTTTTTTTTGTGTGAATCATAGAAATCTGATAAATTATAGAAAATGTTAGAAAAAAATAATAGTTTTGTGGAGGGAGTTGCTAATAGGGGGAATGAATGGATAGAGGTTGACGTAAGACGTTGCTGGAGCCTCATTACACGTGGACTTACGTTTTCCATTAATGGATTTATTTATCGAAAAAAAACAAAAACACCCTTCTTTAGAATGTTTTCTTTTCAACTCAATCAAACTCGAAGAAAGATTTTTGAGTTTTAGTGTAACAATAACAAAGAGACCACAAAGCTTATGGTTTGCGTACAATCTCCAAGTTAATAAAGCACTGCTGTAACAAATGACAGAGATGACTCAAATTTTTGAAACAATCTACTACACTTTCCTCAACTGAAACTATTGCTAATGCAAAGTAAATTGATCACACAGAAACCTTCACCTGATGCCAAGAATGAGAGCAGCTTCTCTTTTGGTCATGGTAGGCTGGAAACCGCCTTCGTAGAATTTCTTGATTTTGGGCCGTGGTGGCCTAGCTTTGAATGCTTGCCAGGCTTGGATACCATATGTCCATATCTACCAGCTAGTGCAGTCGCAGCTAATGCAACTCCCGCCAAAAATGGTGTCGCCTGTTGTACCAACAAACATAACCAAATTATTAGTCAGAACTACGCAAAGAATGGGATCCAAAGGGACCAAAGACACACACACAAAGACATAGCAATTAATGAAAGAAGTTTGAACTAAGAAGTATTTTATCAGACTCGTTTTCTTATCATTAAAGAAAGAAAAGAAGTTGATCGATTTAGCTAAAGAATCATTACATCTTTGTCTGATTAAAATGAAACGCCGATTTATTTTCACAGATTTGAGATTCCTAACGTAAGCATAAATTCGTAGACTAACGTTTTGAAAAGAAAAAAAAAGGATTGAACAGAACCTAACTTGATGAAATGAAACTCATGATACAAATCTGATGAACCGTAACTTCTGGAAGAGATCGGAATTTACCATTCAGAAATCTGGGATGCTTTGTTTCATCAACAGATCTATTTGGAGTTCGATTGTGATGCAGCGTAGACATCTCTTTTCCTATTCTTACTTATGTTTAGTTTTCCTTTTATTTTATGTTTTCTATTTAGAATAAGGAATCACGATTCTTTAGGGATTTTATTTACTTAGCTACTATATAAGAAGAGCTAAGAGTTGTTTGCAAGACACGCTTTGATTAATAAGATTTCTATTTACTAAAGAGCTTTCTAAGCACTGCGAAGAGTATTCGCAACCCTAAAAGAGTTCTCACGAACTCTGCGAAGAGTATTCGCGCCCCTATCTATCGTTACTTCACCTACACTTTAGGTTTATAGCTTCCGCTCTCTATCAGTTGGTATCAGAATCAGAACGTTTCGGGAATCAATTGTTTTCAATGGTTAAGAAAACAGGAACCACAGGCGGTGACCACCATAATCCAGATGACGGTGCCAAGGAACAACCAGAACTTCAAACCCTAATCGACATGCAAGCAGCAACACATGCATCTCTCCAGCAACTCACCGAGACAATGGGTTATTCTCGCCAACCGCATTGAAACTTTGACGGTAGCAGTCTCAACCCGTGACGACCCTCCCATCCAGCAGGTTGCTCCTGCTCCACAACTCAGAAACCAACCACAAATCGATCACCCACTTCCACCCGCTCATCCTCGCCTTCCTCTACAACGACAACCGCAATTCCACCAACCTCAACACCATCCGAACCAGCGATATAACCTAGACCCGACGAGCAAGCACAACCAACTCATCCCGATGACGAGGAAGAGCTTCATCGTCAACTTTATTTTCAGGACTTACGTCAACGAGACAACGTCAATACTCAATGGGAAAAAGGCTTTCGCGTTGATATTCTGGAGTTTCATGGCGGCCTGAAAGGAGATGATCTCATCGATTGGATAATTTCCGTCGAAGAAATCCTAGAGTTTAAACAGGTTCCTCTTCATCGTCGCGTCCCACTCGTGGCAATGCGATTCCGCGGACATGCCGCCACATGGTGGAAACAGCTTAAAACAACGCGTTCCCGTACCGGGAAGGATCCAATTCAGTCATGAGAAAAGCTAACAAAACACCTTCGCCAAACCTTCTTGCCACACAACTATGAGCGCACTATGTACACCAAATTGCAAAATTTGCGCCAAGGAAACCGTAGCGTCGACGAATACGCAGAAGAATTTTCGTTATTATTAACTCGTAACGAGATTAATGATAGCCAAATTCAACTTGTTTCACGCTTTATTGGGGGATTACGACCACAGCTCCAGACCGCTATGGCACAATTCGATCCATCAACAATCGGAGAAGCACATCGTCGTGCAGCATCATTCGAGCAGCAGTCACGGTCTTCTAACTGGAATCCATCGACAACACGTTCTCGTTCCCAGGACACTACAGCAAGCACCACTCCTTCACCATCCACGAAAGAGACCGCTGAGGGTTCCACTACGACTACGAAATAGTCTACACAGGACGAACAACAATTGCGCCGATCTACCCGACCTAGTGCTTTGCGTTGTTATTCTTGTGGGGAACAAGGTCATCGACAAACGGCTTGTCCCAATGCCACACGCAGAGGGTTAGTTATCGATGACACAATTGACGAACAAGAAGTATACGACTCCCAAGACGATGATGACCAAGACGACACCAATGCTCATCCGACTGCTGGCGATCAGGGACACTCACTGGTACTCCGTCGTGCATGTCTCGCCCCACACCGAACAGATGACAAGTGGTTACGAACAAATATTTTTCGTTCTACCTGCACCATACAAGGGCGTATATGCAGCTTTGTCATCGACTCCGGCAGTTGCCGTAACATCGTCTCCGAAGCAGCCGTCGATAAACTCGGCATCGCGAGAGAGACACATCCCGCGCCTTACAACCTGGGGTGGCTCAACGACACGACTACTATTCGCATCACACAACGTGAAATAGTCTCTTTTTCCATTGGTCTCCACTACAAAGATCGCATGTACTTTGACATTGCACCCATCGATTTTTGCCACCTTCTGCTAGGACTCCCGTGGGAGTTCGATCGTAAAATTATTCATGATGGAGCTAAAAACACTTATAACTTCATATGGAATACGCAGAAAATCGTTCTCCTTCCTTCACAAGACACGGCTTCTACAACACCATCCCTGACACCACTTTCAACGCCTCCCACCACTACACACACCACACCACCTACTGCCTTGTTATGCTCTTATCAAGCTTTTGTCTCAGAACTTCGCTCTACAGGCTTTGCTTTGGCATTGTTACCCAACTCTGATCTTCAGTTACAAACCACGACTCCACCACAAGCCGTGATCGACGTTCTCACTAACTTCGCGGACGTATTTCCCGATGAGCTTCCGCAAGGTCTTCCGCCCCTCCGCGACATCCAGCACCAAATTGATCTAATCCCATGCGCAACATTACCTAACAGACCACACTATCGCATGAGTCCACTTGAGCATGAAGAGTTGCGTCGCCAGGTCGAAGATCTTCTGCGCAAAGGCCACATTAAAGAGAGTCTCAGTCCCTGCGCGGTCCCGGCTCTCCTAATCCCTAAAAAAGATGGGTCTTGGCGCATGTGTGTGGACAGCCGCGCAATCAATAAAATCACCATTAGGTATCGGTTTCCGATTCCCCGCTTAGACGATCTTTTGGATCAAATTGGTTCAGCTAAATTTTTTTCGAAGATTGATCTTAAGAGTGGTTATCATCAAATCCGTATACGACCCGGCGATGAGTGGAAAACGGCTTTCAAAACCAGGGAAGGACTTTTTGAATGGCTGGTTATGCCATTCGGCCTTTCCAACGCGCCTAGCACGTTCATGCGCATTATGAACCAAGCTCTCCGACCATTTATTGGCAGATTCGTTGTGGTATATTTTGATGATATACTAATTTTTAGCTCGTCCCTGCCTGAGCACGTCAAGCATCTTGATAAGGTACTTTCTGTGCTGCGCAAGGAGAAATTATTTGCTGCCAAGCACAAATGTGAGTTTGCCGTTTCTAAGGTCCTTTTTCTGGGATACGTCGTGTCTGATCGGGGATTGTCTGTCGACGATTCAAAGGTTGAGGCAATTAAGTCTTGGCCGGTACCAAAGACGGTATCAGAAGTCCGGAGTTTCCATGGTCTCGCTTCTTTTTATCGTCGGTTTGTGGACCACTTCAGTACCATTATGGCACCAATCACCATTTGCATGCGTGACGGCAAGTTTGAGTGGACAAGTGAAGCTACATAGGCGTTTGCTTTAATCAAAAAGAAGCTTACTTCTGCTCCTATACTTATTCTTCCCGACTTCTCCTTACCGTTCGAGTTACATTGTGATGCTTCTAAATTGGGTATCGGTGGCGTATTAAGTCAACAAGGACGTCCGGTTGCGTTCTTTAGCGAGAAATTGGCAGGCGCAAGGGGACGCTACAGCACCTATGACGTGGAATTTTATGCAATTGTGCAGGCAATTAAACACTGGTGCCACTACTTGGTTCATCGCGAATTTGTTCTTTTCACCGACCATGATGCTTTACGTCATTTGGACAGTCAAGCCAAGGTCTCTGCGCGTCATGCCGCTTGGATTTCATATCTACAACAATTCACCTTTGTTATCAAACATCAGGCAGGCAAGACCAACCGCGTGGCTGATGCTCTTAGTCGCCGGTATGGTTTGTTAACCACAATGCACTCTACCGTTCTTGGTTTTGCGTCGTTCGTGGATATGTATCCAACGGATCCGTTCTTTGCGCGTATTTACCAAGAAGCTGACAGTCATCAACGTTGTGACTACACAGTTCAGGACGGATTTCTCTTCCGGGGTTTGCGTCTTTGTGTTCCGGATTGCAGCTTGCGTTTGAAGATTGTGAGTGAATTACATAACGAAGGCCATGTCGGAAGAGATCGCACATTGCAGTTAGTTATGGAGTCTTGTTTTTGGCCAACTTTACGGCGCGATGTGGAGCGCTTCGTCAAGCGTTGTCGTGTATGCCAAGTAGCTAAAGGGAAAGCTTCGAATGCTGGATTATATCTGCCGCTACCCATTCCTACTCAGCCGTGGTCCGACGTGAGTATGGATTTTGTTTTGGGACTCCCTCGCACACAAAGGGGATTTGATTCTATATTTGTCGTCGTTGATCGATTCTCCAAAATGGTGCACTTTGTTGCTTGCAAGAAGACTACCGATGCAGTTAATGTTGCGACGTTGTTCTTCCGCGAAATCTACCGGTTGCATGGTCTACCGACATCCATCGTTTCCGATCGTGATACCCGGTTTCTTAGTCACTTCTGGCGTTCTCTTTGGAAGTTATTAGGCACGTCACTTGACATGAGTTCTGCATATCACCCACAGACGGATGGTCAAACGGAGGTTGTGAATCGTTCGTTGGGGAATTTACTTCGTTGCCTTGTGGGCGATAACGTCAAATCGTGGGATACTAAGCTTGGTCAAGCTGAGTTTGCTCATAATCATGCTGTCAATCGCAGCACCGGCTTCTCTCCGTTTCATGTTGTGTATGGTCTCCTCCCGCGTGGTCCGTTGGCTTTGGCGACTGCTCCGGACAAGACTCGGCACCATGGCGAAGCCATTGACTTTATCTCCCATATTCAGGATGTCCATCAGCTAACACAGTCTCAGCTCGAAGCTTCTGCAACAAAGTACAAACTTGCCGCAGACACCAAGCGACGTGAAGTCATCTTCGAACCCGGTGATTTTGTCTGGGTATATTTGACCAAAGACCGACTGCCTTTGCGTGATTATAACAAACTGAAGTCCAAGAAAATTGGTCCAGTCGAAGTTGTAGAACGCATCAATCCAAATGCGTATCGTCTCAAGTTGCCTTCTCACATTCGTACGTCCGACGTCTTCAACATCAAGCATTTGTCCCCTTTCAAAGGTGACAATGACGATCCAGATTCGTGGACGAATCCTTCTCATCCGGGGGGACCTGATGCAGCGTAGACATCTCTTTTCCTATTCTTACTTATGTTTAGTTTTCCTTTTATTTTATGTTTTCTATTTAGAATAAGGAATCACGATTCTTTAGGGAT